GAAAAAAAAAAAAAAAAAAAATTTAAAGTTGCCTTGCTGCATTTACCAATCATGACCCAGAAAAGTGTGATCATTGTACTCCAACCAAATTAAGCAAAAATTATAAGCATTTGATTGCTACTTTCAACTTATGTATTATTTTACTCTCATCACTGTAGCTCAACATTTTCTGCAGGAAATCTAGCGTGGAAGATCCTATAGATAGAAAGTAAAATATGACATAATCATAGGTCGTATGGATTTATTTATGAACATACCTTTTTTACTATGACACAATTAATTTTATTATAAAAGTATATTTTACAGCTCAATAATCTTCATTAATCATGGAATGGTCAAGGCATAGCTAAAGTTAAAAAAAATTAGATAAATCTACAAAGTTTAACAAAGATGTCGCTTCTACTCCTAAAAATTGAGAATTTGTTGGTAAGTTTAGTTATAAAAACTGTCGGGCTCAATATGTAGGTGAAATAAAAATCGAATCAAAGAGAAAGTTAACGATTACATGTGGAAATCTTATTTGTAATAAGCACTAAAAAGCCATATAAATAATAATAAATATAAGTTTGACTGGAAAAAAGTCAATATTTTAGATAAAGGGAGCAACTACAAGAACGCATTACTTCAAAAATATTTCATTTATATATATAAATAAGAATAGTATTATCAAACTATAAGGCTTCTTGTTATTATAGTCCGTAATATTCAGCTATATTTATTGAGCTCAATTCGTTTTCTATATGTACTTTATTTCTCAAGTATACTACTACATGTAAATTTTCAAAAAACAAAGTTTTTATTTGTTATCAGTCCTAATATTATGTCAGTGCCGTATTATTTTATATTATCAGTAGGAATTACACTGCCACTAGCCACACACTGTAAACAGCTGGCTATTATAGGTTTATATAAAATTATTTCCGTCAAGCGTTATAATGATTGCGTTTGTGCCTTATTCCAATATCATTACATATACTATTAAATGTGTGTTGTGTGATATTTGTAGTTTGTCTAATAAGGTCCATGAAAGTCAGCTGAAATGAAGCACAGAATGTATGTACCTATTCATAATTGTGTCTATAATTTTTGTGCTTTGCACAGTTTTTTAATTGTTTTTACGAGCAAAAAGAGTTAAACTACAATGTCTTACACCATACCTAACTATAATCTTAATGTCCTTTTTGCTTAGAAAAATTATATCCAGACTTATTTAATAAGATCAAAAAATTTTTAAAAATAGTTATTCTATGATACTTACTAATTAAAGGGTACAATAAGAGACAGATAGGCTGTTTAAATATAAGTGTAAGATATAATGTCAGAAATTTGAATTGTAGAAATTCTTATGAGAATTCTTTATTATAAATCTTATTTAACGATGGGGCAACAAAGTCTGTTTTGTCATGGTTTAAGAGGGCTCTATTAGAAAATTTATAAATATATGGGTGATCCTTTAATGGTTACTAATATTATATAACTCAAAATGATTCAAGTTTATGTAAGTTTATTATATTATATAATTACATGTGAGATGTTTCATTTATTAAGATAGTTTAATAACAGTAATAACAACAAATTTTTTTGCACTAAATACTGTCTACTTACAAATAAATGAAAGTGAATCTGCCGCTTATAATGAGGAATAAAATATGATGAATACAGGTGATTTATCTGAATACAGTCTATTTATTAAGCTTCTGGATGGTTTGGGAGAACAACATGAAAAAATGTATGTATTAAAAAATGTTTGCATTAAAACAGTATTTTAGTTTGTAGAGAGCCAATGGGTGGCGATAGAAACGAGGGGATTCAAGGTTAATTGCATGAGAGTTATAGGGAGACTCTATGGTACTTGGACAAATCTATTAGCCGCTTTTTTTAGATCTTTGAAATTAACAGTTACATCAGGGTCATAAATTTATTTGATCATTCTGTGAGCTCATCTTAGATCACTATTTGCATTGATAGTTCCATAAATTCTAACGTCTCTGACGATTCTGTCTAGGTATAGAGTTTTTGTAAGCATCAATCATGACTCTATTGAGCAAGCGTGCATATACCTTAATATTTCTAAAAGTATCAAAGTCAAGGCCATAGAGTACCTCAGCTAATAGTTTAATATTTTTATCATTACACTTCTCCCAATCTACTGTTGCAAGATTAAATATGGCTTTGGTGGATAGGGTGCGGTTCATCGTAGTCAGAGCCTTAACTGTAAACTGAATTGATTTGTGTTCACCAGTGGCCCACGCATCTCGTTCTTTCTACTCTAAGATTCTGTGACTCATTATTAAACTAAACAAGATAACAGCAATCTATGATTTTATTCTCTTGGATCGTACGTAGGTGTTTCCATGATCTGATTGTGAATTTTAAGTCGTATCTGGCTGTTACGCTTTTAGGTATTAGGTTCCTTGGAGTTAACTGGAAGCATTGAGGGCATTTTTGTAAGCCCTGTTGTATTTTAACAATTTTGTTGTTTACTTCCTTCGTTATATTTTACTACGTTAATCGTTTATTTCTTATGTGTTCATGAATTGCACATTGTAGGGTCCCATTTTTTTTTTTTTTTTTTATAAAGAATCCACCTTACAGCCAGGCAATGACACCAAATGATAGCAACTATATATCAGAGGCATTCCCGATACAGGTGCTACTAAATTAGAAGAAAATGCGGTACTTAAGTTCTACCTAGTTCCGAGGGCTTCAAATTTGCCAAACTTATTCCTCTTTTACTGGAAAAACAGCCGCTGATAACCATTTTTAAATAAGTGAGAAATGGTTAATTGGAATAGATTTCTTACAGAAAGTAAGGGCAATCATTAATTTTAAGAATCAAAATTTTAATAATTGAAAGCAATTAGAGGTTACAAGCTGTTTATTATTTATTAAAGAAATATTAAAATAAATGAGTAGGAGCCGTTTCAAATTTTGAGATCCTTGTATAAACTATCATTTTATTTACCTTTAAATTACAAATAACTTACAAACATAAAACTAATACATACTTTGAATATTGGATTCACAAAGAGACTCATTGTTTGGTCTGATGAAAGAATAACTTTAATCTTAAGAGATAAGCCTAAGACATTGCTAGAATATCAGTGTAAGGTTGAGATTAAATCTTACGGCTAATTTTAGACAAGTAATAAGATAGGTCTATTTTAACCGTTGACTAGTGAATAGATCGTGGATGAGCTTATCAGCACTAAAGAGTTTACTTTTAATTAGAGAACAGTGAAGCTGTTTTGTTCCAAGCTACTAAATCAATTTTAAACATGATCTGGAACCTTACTCATGACTTCAATGATGATATGATTTGTAATTCTGAGAAATTTTTAGAATAACTCTTACACTTTGATAAGGTTTTTAAGATTCTGTGCAGCAAAAGCATTACAATTAACTTTGAGAAATACGTTTTTTGTCGGTTCGAAATTTGCTTCCAGATACATATTCTGACAACCTATGGACTTATCGTCGATCTAAATAAATGTTTTAAGAAATAAAAAAAAACAAATGTTATGATTATTTATTTATTCATGTATTTTAAAATTAACCAGTAAGTTGAAATTAAATAAGTATTTTATAATAGAAATAGAAAAGCAGCTACCAAAATACGTATTTTTAAGAAATTCATCTTACACAAAAAAAATTAGTTCATTAAACGAATAACTTATAAAATAAAACAATATCTAAACATTTAAAATAAAGTTATAAGTCCCACTGTTACATTAAAAAAAACCTTTATTAAAATCAGAATGGGGTACTTAGCTACAGTGCAGAATTTTGTTGGTTGTATTTTTGAGAAAAGGGTTTTTTTTTCGTGTTTAAGGAGAATTAGCTGTGCAGTAAAAAATAAAAATTCAATAAAAAAAAAAACTTACTTTCTTTGCTTATGCACTGTGGCAGTGTGGTGCAGTGTGTCATATGGTAGAGTGGTCAGGGTGGAGGAAGTGGAGCAAGACAGGGCGTGGTGAGGCAATGAATGGCAATAAAATGCGAAATTCACTTCCGTTATACATTCTCTCAAGTTCATCTATCTGAAACTGTTAGTTCACACTGTAACGTGAAACACGTCTGTGAAAGCAACATTAAAAAAAAAAAAAAATAGTAGTATCTTTGCTTAGATCAATCACATGAAAAACTTGCCTTATATCAATTAACGATAAAACACGCTTCTTCAGAATAACATGAGCCTGTCCTAAATAAAGTATCTGTTAACATTTAAACTCTTTATTTGTTTTAAAAATAGAACTTTTTTAAATTAAATACAATTAATTTTGTCTGTATGCATACAAAAAATATTTAATAATTTATATTTTAGTCCAAAATGGCTGTGTTAACTACGAAAAATAGTAGTGCAGCATAACTGTAGCAGAATCTCATAAATTTTTTTGTCACTTGAACTAGTTGAGTTTCATTTATGCATCTCTATCCAAAACCTAATACAAATTTAGGAAGATTGTAAGCTATTCTTGGGAGGGCCATCACCATAGAAACTCTGAAAAAATGTATCATTTGTATATTATTTATATTTAAGTTATTAAAGGCGGATAAATAAAATAAATATATTCAATTAATATTTTTTTCAATTTGTATAGAAGACTTCCAGGTGACTATTTGGAGGTTGATTTTGAGCATTACTTTATTGAATAGTCTTGTAAAGTGGCAAGCAGATATATTTGCACGTTAAGAATAGACTGCTACCCAGCAATATTAACTAAGAACTTATTAAACTGTCATATGTCGTAGACAAGAGCTTATATTTTAAGCTTATATCTGATAAAATTACAAACTCTTTAATGTTGTTATTTAAATTCTGCTGAAATATATTCCAAATAATCCCTAGGTCCTAAACTGTAAATTTTTGTTGTTCTTTTCGCTTACCATACATTATAACACAACAAGGTTAGAGAAGGTTAGTTTTATTGAGTTGCAATAAACAAGTTCAGTTCTATTAGTTTGTGTATTATTTATCAGTTATATTTGCTTAAAAATATTTTTCCAGCTCATTACTTATTCTTTGTCTAACTGTCTATGGATAAATTTTTCCATATTAAGACATTAACAAAGATTTCTTTTTGTAATTTGTAGAAAAATATCAAAGCTGTAAATAGTACACAAATAAAACTACGTGTATATTGCACGTATAATTGTAGAGCCTTTAGTAAAATTGTATGACTTCTTACATAAAACTACACTTTTCGTATTTAAAAGAAGGTTGATGTATAGCACTACTCCAAATCAGAATTCGATATTACTTAAAAGTAGGTTCAGTCTTGTCTTATCATGATGCTCATATCAATGTTATATCAACTTATCCATATATCAACGTAACATTGAGATTATGGTTAGGCATTCAAAAACTCCATGCATTTTCTCGATCTCATTTTTATGCCCTTCATTGGCTCTATAAAACAAAAAAAAGACTTATTTTCTGTGTTATTATCTCTAAATACTATTCATCTTACCAAGTACGTACTTCAATGATTAATGCAAATATATCTAGGCTTCTCGTTGGAGATAAGGAGATTTAAAAAAAAAAAAAGTGCTTTAGGATACAATCATAGAAAAGTCTTTCTAATGATTAACAAAGTTTGTTTTGACTTAAAATATAATAAGTAATGGTGTCTGAATAACAGTAAAAAAAAAGTTAAAACGATAAGACAATGAAATAACTATAATAAGTTATCGTAAAAATACTAAAAACAAAAAGAAACAAGTGGACATTAGTTGCTGCGGTACCTTAGTACAAACTTTAACTACTATGATATTTGATGTTAAACAATACATAAACATAAATATACATTCTATAAAGTAATATTGTGTACAGATATAGTACATTCATCACTGAAATAAGTAATATGTACATTTTTTAGATGTGGTTTTGATACACATCTTTATACTTCATAAATGAACGATTATAAAAAATATGAAACGTAATTAAGAAAAGTACAAAGAATATCAATGGTACGATGTTGTGGTGGAATGGTCAGCAAGAGAGTACCCTATTTTATTAATTTATCCAGTTATTTAAAAACAGCTACCTTCTCTTATATCACCGCTAACTTTACGGTCCCATCTGTTACATACACTGACATACCTGTCCTTACAACTTGTCACATTTACGACATCTACAATAGTTTTTTAAATGGTTGTTAAAAAAATAAAAAAGCCAGCTATACTAATTGATATACATTTAATATTATATTTTTGATAGAATAAATAGATGAAATTTTGCCAACTAAAATGTTATAAATATAATGATAAAGCATCCATAACTATTGATTGTAAATTAACAAACTAAGACATATGACAACAGTTTACGTTAACTTGGAACAACCTTTCACCTACTATCAGATTAATTTTGATTGTATTCAAATAATGATATAACTGGCTTGTAATAACTACAAAAAAAAAAAAAACCTTTGGTTTGAATTAAAAATAAGTAACATCCTGCAAAACCACTTTTTTCTAAATAAGATGGTATTACCTGCACGTAAGTGTAGCTCAAAAATTACGTTTCTTACAAGTAAACAAAACTTTAAAAAAAGCAATTAGAATAAGATAATTTATCTTTATGGTCTTGTTTGGTAAAGAGAAAAAAATTAAAAACTCTTAAAAAAAAAAAAAAATGAAATAAAAAATTATTTATATAAAATATTCCTAGTTATAAAAACATAAAATACACTTTCATTCAGTACAGAATAGCTATCATTGCGTAAAAAGTTTGTAAAGTTAAGAAAAAAATTATGCAATTCAATGCATACAAATATAATTTCAAATTTAGCTAATTTAATAAATAAACAGTAAATAAACAGTAACACGAAAAATAAACTTTAGATTATATTATGAGTAAAGTTGAAAGGTTTTAAGTTATAGGGATCGCTCTTGGCAATGAAGATAGGGTACTCAATTTGTTTGCAGGAGATTACTGGTTTTATTCTTGTTAAAAGGGTCTATTTCAGCAAAATTGGCTGAAGAATCAAAAAATAAGATTCAATATAAATGAAAATTATCTTTCTTAAGATATGCGCTGTAATGTCGAAATGCGAGGTGATGTGGTATCGTGATTTTATAAACTTTAACATTTAATTTGAATGAATCAATTTGGTTATCGTTATGTAGTGTTTTTAATTAGAAAAAGTCGTGTATTGTAAAATAAATCAACAACACATTGAGACCACCAACGTTGTAATGTAAATCCACAATGATTCTACCTGTACAATAAATATAGTTTGGTTAACTCAATTTTTCAGTTAAAAAAGGCTTATAACAGCAGTTGCTGTTCACCATAGTTATAACTATAAATTTTTATAAACTTACTACTTTTTTACTACTTAGCCAAATGACATTATCCTATTAGTGGTAATAACTGTTTATGGTTATTTTTAATTTACTGTCGGTATTTATGGAAACTTCATTAAAAGCTTTGATAAGTGTATCTGTAAGTACTAGGGAATCTACCATTTTTATCCGTTTGATCTTCTTTTCTTGACATTGACTGCATTGTCGAACTTTATTAAGAATATTATTTCTGATGTCTAGAAATAAAATTTTTCTCTGTTTTTCCAAAAAGTTTAAATTATTTTTTTATGTTCTTTAACAAGGCAGTCATGAAACGTTTTTATTATTTTATTAGGTGCTAGAATTTTCGGAGAATCCACCTTAACGTAACGTACAGTAATTTGTAAAGGTGTTTTATCGAATATTGTTAACAAAATTTCTGTTATCAGTCCAGGTTCTGATTTGTCTGTAAGATCTCCCCTTCTTTAAATTTTGAAAGTTTTAAGATTTTGTCTCAAAAATATTTTCCTGAGTGATTTCAAAGCTTTTGTAAGACCTTTTAAAGTAATTGAAGTTATATTTCTATGAGCGTGTTATGCGCGAAGGTAAATCAACGATTTCAGATTCTGACCTTGAGAAAAAGTGTTACGCAAGAGGATTTTGCTTGATTCTCCCCCTTCACCTCATCTCCCGTGACGTACTTCCGGTTTCTTCGACACCACATGACGCCAAATTACATTACCCCGACACACATTTAAAATTTGTGAAATTTGTTTGTTTTTGTTTAAAAATATATTACAAAAAAAAAACAGTTTTTAATGGGATTTAAGCTCTCAACCTTTCGTGTACTGACGAGATTCTTACCAACTCTACTATAAGCGTGCCCGATATGAGAAACTCGAATACTTCAGTTGATCGTATAGTTTGTAGCTTATTCTTAAAGTAAATTTTTATTTACTGTGTATTGATTTATCTGGCTTAATTATCAATTAAATAAATAGATAATTTATTTAATTGTATACATTTTTGAGGTACGTAATTAAAAGATTCCGAAACTAGTATATATTATCAGAGCAGCTTTCAAATTATGTAATAATAAATATTTATTTACGTATTATAAACTTAAGACTTTTAAATTATATAAATAACCGTTCCCACAATTTTTAAAATTTTTTCAAAATTAAAAAAAAAAAGTTTTTGTACTGTAGGAATACAATAAATAATTTTTATTGTGTCTTATTCTTTCAAAATATTTTTATTCGTGATTAAGGTAATTTTTTTATTGAGGACGTTCATTACATAGTTACAAGAGAAAAAGTTTAAAGAAGTAAGAGGAAAGCTAACTTCTGCAGTAAAAATAGGAATTATTTTTCTCATTTGAATGTCCTCACGTACATGCTTTAACGCACACTTTATCCCCTCTTTCTAAATTCATTTGAAAACCAACTTGTGGGTCTATTTCAAAATTTGATAGGTTTACCTAAAAGTAATGCTTTGTACCCAAAAAACTGGGATATTCCTACAAGTCATATAAATGCCATTTAACGTTTTTTTTCCATAAATTTACATGTTAAATATCGATTTTTTAAAATAATACATACATGAAATAATGGCATAGTCAAACAAGCTGCAATTTTTATGGGCGTTTTTTATGCCACTAGCATGTAATACTACCCTATTGAAGAACGCTTTTCTACATGATGGTTTTTCTTAATTTTCTGTGTACAATTATCTTTAGGGTATTAAATATGGATGAGAAATAAGTGTTGGATCGTACGTGATGGATGTG